TCCCTCTCATGCACATACAATCACACAAATGGTTCATATTGAAAAATTAGAGGGGGGGGGGGGAAAATTAAAAAAAAATGGTTCATACTGGACACCACTGAATCTTCTCTTCTCTTCTCTTCCCTTTTCTTCCCTTCCCTCGTCTCTTTTTCTTTCTGCAACCAATCACTGTTTTTCTTGACGTTCAGGTTGAGGTTGTCATGGGGAGGAGAGGGGAGGAGAGGGGAGGAGAGGGGAGGGGAGGAGAGATGCGAGTGAAGGAGAGGGAGTAGTAGCGAGGAGGATGTCAGAATCTTTGGAGTAGTGGTGAGGAGGATGTCAGAATCTTTCTTTTCTGTCTTCCCCTCCTTTTCCCTTTCACTTCAACTTCGGAGGTGGAGGTCACTGGAGGAGAAGGCAGAGCAGGAGGATCACAAAGGACTGGAATCGGGAGGAGGAGGGGTAAAGGAAGAGAAGGGAGAAGAGGACGTTGGGACTGTGCTGCGCTCTGTCCCTCCGCTGTCTCCCTTGTACGTCATGCTCGAACAGTCGTGCTTGCGCACGTGCTCTTGCTAGGTGTGTTCACGGCGTATAATCGCAGGATGATTAGTACCTCAAAGCCATTCATCATCCATCATGCAACTTTGGTGTAGTGTCTCTTAAAGCACAGCTAAGCAAACCTCCTTAGATTACACAACTCACTTGTCCTAAGATTGAATCAATTTTTTCACCAGATTCCTTCTCTCGTCATTAGTTTTTTTTTGTTTTTGTTTTTTTTTCCTCCTTTCCTCTTCCTCTTCCCTCCTCTTCCTCTTCCCTCCTCTTCCTCTTTCCTCCTCTTCCTATTTTCCTCTCGTGAAGAGCATTGTGTGGTTGCATTGCGTGGTGCAGGTATTAACATTAACTGTTTGATTTACTTACGGTTATCTATCTTTCTTTCTCTGAATGCATCCTGCTGCCTCTTTTGTCTCACACTGGATGGCGGTCTCCTACTTCTATCCCTCCTCCATTCTCCACCTTTCCTCTCCCCGTTACCTTTGCCTCCCTCCTCTCTTTATGTTGCATTGTCTTTTTTCCCGAGAGAGTCTTTGCTCTCTCTCTCTCTCTCTCTCTCTCTCTCTCTCTCTCTCTCTCTCTCTCTCTCTCTCTCTCTCTCTCTCTCTCTCTCTCTCCTGCATGTCCACGTGCCTCTCCATCCATCTGTCCGTCTCTCTGTGGGTTTATTGGGATGTAGGCACGTACCTCCCTTGCACTGCGCCTTCATTTCCATCTCTTCCTCCCTGTCTCTTTTTCCTTGTGGGTGGTGGGGTGTCAATTTCGCTTCGTTCTATTGTGGGTGCTCTTTTCCGGCAGGTTGCAGGAGAGTCAAGAGTCCAGACAGGGAAGCAGTCAGCAAATGTTCCAATGGAGAAGATTATTCTCATGAAGATGCATCTGTGAACGTGCCCTCTTCCTCTTGCCCACTAATACAGAAATGGTGGAGGGCATCCTAGTCCAATCAGGCTCCCCTCCCTTGGCCCCTCTCCCATTTCTTCCCATTTCTTCCCATGGGTGTTTCTATTTGTGGGCCTCCCCTCCCCTCTCCTCCCCTCCTTTTTGGTCAGGCTCCCCTCCTTTTTGGTGGAGGGCCTCCTAGTGCTATCAGGCTCCCCTTCCTTTTGGTCCATCAATCCTTTCATTTCTTTCCCAATTCTCCTTCCACTATCACTATTTGCACGTGGTCCTCAATTCGTGTCGGTTGATCCCTTCATGTAGTATGTAGTATGTAGTATGTACCCTATTCTATCTGCCACTCTTGAGAATGTTTTCTTCTTTCTATTCCCCTTCTTCACCCACTGTAAATGC